GTTATGGTGAGAGTTTTGACCAAAACCGAGGGTTCAGGCGTCTGTATAGTGGCTGTGCTCCCGTATTGCTACTGCAGATGTTACGTTTTTGCAGTAATGCCAATTCTTACTGTAATAAAGGCGAGTTTAATCAATTTAACCCTTCCAATATTGAAATTGGGTTGATAGGGAGGGGATGATTTAAAGAGTCTAGGAAACAACATATCTTAATATATAGTGTTTTTTTTTTTTTTTAACCATTTTAGTTTCCTTTGTATTTTGTCATCTAGAACCACTAATGTCCTTGTTCTTACTCTAAAATGAGATATGAAGTCAGCGCTGTATTTGCCGCGAGGCAAACACGGCATTTGCCTTGGGGCGCTACTTTCCAGGAGGCGGCAAAAAACGCCACCCCCAAATGCCCAGGCAAATACCTTGTTAGCCATGGGGCAGGCCGCTAGCTGAGCTGCAGGAGGGCGGCAAATGAGCTCTCACATTCCGACTCCTTGCATCACTCTGCGGTGCGCGAGCTCAGCCTGCTGCATCCCTCCCTGCCCAAACAGCCCGACCAGCACGCAACTGGACCCCAGGTAAAAAATCCAGCCAGCTATCCCAAAGGTAGGGAGGAGAGAGAGAGAGAGAGAGTGTGTGTGTGTGTATGTGCCCTTTTAGTAAAGCTTCTAAAGTTTGCTGGGAGATGTCTTGCAGATAGAGAAGGTGTAAGGAGTTGTTTGAACTAACAGGTGGAGCAGGGAAAGAATGCACAAAAGCACAGTAAGAAGTGAACACATAATGCATGCAATTAAGTTAATTATTCGGGGTACGACATCCAAATCAGCAACCAAAATAAGAATTCTTACAGCAAGTCCGAGATCAAGGGGAATAGAAAGCGGCTTAGTATGTAATCGAGCAGAGGCCCAGCAACAGGAAACCAAATTAATTGAGCATCTCCATTAAGTTTCTAGAAATATTTAAACTCTGTGGGAAAGAAGGAATTAGGAGGCCACCATGGTAATAAATGAGTTTAGGGATCATGGAAATGTAATAGGTATATGTTTTAAAGGGGTAGTGATGTAACACAGTAAGGCAAAAAATAAATGACGTAAATCTACACATATATTTTATCTTTTACCACAATATTGAGAGGAAGAGTACACAAATGGTAAACCGAAGTTCATAATATTTCAGACTGGGAAGGAAGTATTTGCATGGAACGCAATTCTTAATCACATACAGTAAATGTGACAAAAATAAATGAAAATGGTAAAATACTCATTATGAGTGTAAGCAGGGCCGGCGCTACCTGTTAGGCGGACAAGGCAGCCGCCAGGAGCGCCGGCCCCCCTCATGCTGCAGCCGCCCGAGCGCTCTGTAGAGAGCCTCAGGCGGCTGCAGCTTTGCCCGGGCTGGTGCGTCCATGAGGGCACACCGCACCGCCCGGGCGCAGCCTGAGGAGAGGGGCTGACAGGAGGGAAGCGCTCAGTGCTCCCTCCTGTCACTCCCTCACTGTAGCGTGGCCGAGCCCTGTATGGTCAGCGGGTACAGGGAGCATCTGTCTCATGTACCCGGCCGGACTAACACTGAGTGTGCACTTCCTTTTAGAGCCCATCATCATCCTCATCTGGTTGTAAGTAGGCAATCTAGTATATTATTCGTGGCACTAATCTCTAATTTACCTCACATTAAAGAAACACTATAGTCCCCAGAACCACTGCATCTTAATGTAGTGGTTCTGGTGTCTAGCCTGTCCCTGCAGGCCTTTTAATGTAAACACGGTGGCACTGCAGCACTGGCGTTAGTTAACATGGCAAATCATATGGGTGGGGCATTGTGATGTCACATGGGGGGGGCGGCAAACTTTACTTTTGCCTAGGGCGGCAAAAAACCTTGCATCAGCCCTGAGTGTGAGTACCCCCATTGCAATGCAACTTTCTAAAAATTTCACAATGTAAAAAGAATGTGTCTCTGCGGATATCAAGTCTGCGCACAGTCAGTATAATTACACCAAACATCTCTCCAGCTGCTTTGCAATGCAAAACACAAGTAAACTCACATATATGCATATTGTTGAAGGTTTTGAATACTGTGTTATCTTACCATAAGCTTTCATTTCCAAGTTACTTCTCCAATGCAAAATTATTTTAAAGACTTTTCAATCTAGCAGGGACACGAGATAAACCAGAAATTGTGCATTGGAACACTTCACTTCTTACGAACCAACGCTGTTTTAAGCTGCAATGTGCTTGTGACCAAGATCTTTTTTTTTAATATATATATTTCTTTTAATGATATTTTAGCACAGAAGGACAATAACAATACATCAGTATATGTCGGCTTGGTAAACAGAGTTATTATTATTATTATTATTATTGCCATTTATATAGCGCCAACAGATTCCGTAGCGCTTTACAATATTATGAGAGGGGGGATATAACTATAAATAGGACAATTACAAGAAAACCTACAGGAACGATAGGTTGAAGAGGACCCTGCTCAAACGAGCTTACAGTCTATAGGAGGTGGGGTAAAAGACACGTTAGGACAAGAAAAATCATATAGGGTGGGAGTGAAGCAGAGCTGGAAGAGAGAGTAAAGCACTGCCCTATAGGAGAGAGCAAGAGACAGGTATGTGAGGCAGAGGTTACTCTGGGAGGCCATAAGCTTTCCTGAAGAGATGGGTTTTCTGGAACTGCAATGTTTTTATATTGCAGAACTAAGTGCAATAGGGACAGTGCACCCAAACTACTTCAATGAGCTGAAGTGGTCTGGGTGCCTATGTTGTCCCTTTAATGCAAAGATGTAATTAACTTAGTGAACGGCAGGGGGAGTGCAGAGCTACTGGTCCTTTTAGTAAAGCTTCTACCGTTTGCTGGGAGATGTCATGCAGCCAGAGAAGGTATAAGGAGTTGTTTTAACCAGCAGGTGAAGCAGGGAAAGACTGCACAAAAGCACAGCGAAAACACATAATGCATGCAATTAAAGGGGCACTATTATCACCCAGACCACTTCAGCTCAATGAAGTGGTCTGGGTGCCTAGTCCCTCAGGTTTTAATCCTTCAGATACATTTGGGGTTAAGCCAGCCTCTAGTGGCTGTCTTCTGGACAGCCACTAGAGGCGCAGCTCAGACGCTGGAGGCATATTATGCCTCCATTGCACAGAGCGTCCATAGGAAAGCATTAAGAACTGCTTTCCTATGGACACTTTGAATGCGGGCGCGGCTCTTGCAGCGCATGCGCATTCGGCTCCAGTGACTTCGGACGAGGGAGCTGACGTCAGACGGGGAGGAGAGGTCACCAGCGCTGAGGGAGCCCAGCACTGGATTAAGGTAAGCTGCTGAAGTGGTTTTAACCCCTTCAGCGCCACGGGAGGGGGACCTTGAGGGTGGGGGCACCCTCAGGGCACTATAGTGTCAGGAAAACCGCTTTGTTTTCCTAACACTATAGTGATTCTTTAAGTTAATTATTCGGGGTACGACATCCAAATCAGCAACCAAAATAAGAATTCTTACAGCAAGTCTGAGATCAAGGGGACTAGGAAGCGGCTTAGTATATAATTGAGCAGGGGCCCAGCAACAGGAAACCAAATTAATTGAGCGTCTCCATTAAGTTTCTAGAAATATTTAAACTCTGTGGGAAAGAAGGAATTAGGAGGTCACCATGGTAATAAATGAGTTTAGGTATCATGGAAATGTAATAGGTATATGTATATGTTTTAAAGGGGTAGTGATGTAACACAGTAAGGCAAAAAATAAATGATGTAAATCTACACATATATTGTATCTTTTACCACAATATTGAGAGGAAGAGTACACAAATGGTAAACCGAAGTTAATAATATTTCAGACTGGGAAGGAAGTATTTGCATGGAATGCAATTTTTAATTACATACAGTAAATGTGACAAAAATAAATGAAAATGGTAAAATACTGATTACGAGTATAAGTAACCCGATTTTTTTAGAAATGCAACTTTCTAAAAATGTCACAATGTAAAAATAATGTGTCTCTGCGGATATCAAGTCTGCGCACAGTCAGTATAATTACACCAAGCATCTCTCCAGCTGCTTTGCAATGCAAAACACAAGTAAACTCACATATATGCATATTGTTGGAGGTTTTGAATACTATCTTACCTTATTTTACCATAAGCTTTCATTTCCAAGTTACTTCTCCAATGCAAAATTATTTAAAAGGCTTTTCAATCTAGCAGGGACACGAGATAAACCAGAAATTGTGCATTGGAACACTTCACTTCTTATGAACCAACGCTGTTTTAAGCTGCAATGTGCTTGTGACCGAGATCTTTTTTTTTAATATACATTTCTTTTAATGATATTTTAGCACAGAAGGACAATAACAATACATCAGAATATGTCGGCTTGGTAAACAGAGTTAACACATATTATGAGATATACAACATTCAGAGTAAGTAAGTAATCTCTTTTTTGTATACAGACACCCTTCAATTACTGACAGAGTTCCATTCTTACGACCCGGTCATTAAACGAATTGGTCGGTAAGTGAGGATGCGCTACAGAGCATGCGCACCGGTGCAGGTCTATGTTCTGGGAAATTTACCAGAACCTAGACATACGCACCAGAGCAGGGAATCTCGTAAATCTATGCTCGGGATCGTTCCCCAAACTTTGATTAGATGGATTTCTTGCTCTGGTGCATTTTTCTATATTCTGGGAAATTTACCCGAAACTAGACATACACACCAGAGCAGGGAATCTTCCTAATCTATGTTCGGGAAAATTCTTAGAACATAGACCACCTCTCTGAAGTGGGGAATCCCTTGAATCCCCAGGCAAGAGAGTTGGTTGTAAGTGCGAGTCATCGTAAAACAGGTAGGTTGTAAAGTGAGGACCACCTGTATAAGAAACGTAAGTACAAAATATAATATCAGCTAGATCTGTTACAAATTCTTCAATCAGGCTAGTCAGATGAGTCTAATATTCTACATGGGGCAAGCACCTACTAGCAGGCTAGGATAACTGGTATAAGAATACCTAACGTATGCTTAAAACGATTCCATAAGTAGGGAGAGGTGACAGAAATTCTAATAACTAATAAAACAAAACAGTGGGTAGTAAGTGGTATCACATTAAATCAAAGATAAGCAAGTCAGCACTCTAAAACAGCAGTTTAGCTTCACTTATATATGATGGTATTGTGCAGCCTGACAAGTCTACAGTCAACAAATCCCCAGATTCGGCATGTGGGCAGATGGGATATGAAGGTCGCTCAAGTCAAATGCACGGTGGGGGTGAGGTAAGTCCCCTCTCTAGCCCCAGACCTGTATGGAGGGCGGCATCTTCCGGAGGTGAGGCATGGCATTTTAAAAGTACACATCGGACCAGTGGGGACCGGGGTAGCCTCCACCGGTTCGGGGAAGGCGGGGCAAAAACAGGATGCCTGCGAGGACGGAGCTATACACGATTTAGGAAAGCGGCTACCTCTCATGACTGTCAGATCCACTAGGCCTCACTGGAACCTCAGGCACATGCAAGTAAGTGCAGTCTGAAGTAGCTCTTCAGTTCCTCATTTAGATGGAGCACAAACTGTGTCTGCTCAGCTTGCTGGAAGCCAATATTCAGCTTTGTACAGGAGTGAAGTGAGTAGCTCACACAAAATGCGTCCAGGCGCCACGAGGTACAGGTCCCACTCCTTGTCACCAAGACCTGTTTGCCAGGCATTCATTCTACCACAATTATCCCCTTTTCTGTTTAAGTGTGGAAATACATATTATATATCATTGTTTAACGGAGAAATAGGGCTTTTTTGTATACATTATGTAATACTAAATAGGTATAAAATATCAAAAAATAAAAAACACAAACACATTTATTTCAGTTTTACATTCAATAATTTTTACACACCAAGTGAAAATAAAGAAAACTAACTCAAAATAGAATATACACGAAAAGGTGTGGATTAAATGGCGCTTTGTGATATGGATTGAAAAATATAGTACAGCTGCTGTATACACTCTGTGGGTACTCCTTACAGCCCACGACACATAGATGATCACCAAAAAACACAAAAAACTTCTGGTTTAGCTGATGTTGCCACCTTCCAAACCCTAAGTTTTTAAATTGAGTGCAGCGCTATATTAGTGTGAGGTAAGTGCGTTCACTTGATATTTTAGGATCTCTTACCCTTTATCCGTTTATCTTAGTATAGTTGATATATATAAAAAAGAACAGAAAGAACATATACAGATAGTGTAATATGTCTTTTGATATGACAATAAGTGAATTTGTGAATATATATACACTCACGTTTATTAGAGCCTATTTAGTATTAGGCTCTAAACTTCCGCACGTCTGTGTCTTTTTGGGTAGATCACACGACCCCTCTCTCCTGAAGAAAATATGGATATTCTCCACAGAATATGTAAAAGACACAGGTATTTTAAACTAAGTGTAGCATCTCAAATGGAAATGGTGTCCATATAAATAAAAGTAGAAACACTCACCTTATTTAGAGCCTGTGGGTGGTACTAATGTGTCAGAATGTGTACATAAGCACAATAAACCCACAGCTCTGATTGTTCACTGCTTGACCCTCAACACGGAGCTTTGTCTCGTTCTTGGGGGGATTTATTGTATGCTGTTCCAGTTCGACTGCTAGGAGTGTAAACCTATTCGCATGGTTTTTCCTATTCGGCTTTTTACGGCATTCATATGGTTTCCTGTTCGGCGGATTGGTGTTCTGCAGTAGCTGTGCCTGTGTCTCTGGAAGGGAAGATCTACTAAACGGCGGTTTAACCCTTTTATGCTGAGGGTGCCGTTACACTATCATCGAAGGAAAAATTAATTCCCAAGTTTATCAAGACATTTTGCAGGAGAACTTAAGGCCATCTGTCTACCAGCTGAAGCTCAACAGAAGATGGGTGTTGCAACAGGACAATGACCCAGAGCATAGACGTAAATGAACAACAGAATGGCTTAAACAGAATAAAATACACCTTCTGAAGTGGCCCAGAGTCCTGACCTCAACACGATTGAGATGCTGTGGAATAACCTCAAGAAGCGATTCACACCAGACATCCCAAGAATATTGATGAACTGAAAAAGTTCTGTAAAGAGGAATGGTCAAGAATTCCTTCAGACCGTTGTGCACTTCTGATCTGCAACTACAGGAAACTTTGGTTGAAGTTATTGCTGCCAGAGGAGGTTCAACCAGTTATTAAATCCAAGGGTTCACATACTTTTTCCACCTGCACTGTGAATGTTTATGTAACGGACCGTTTTGCACACAAGGGGTAAAAACCGTTTAGGCGATCGTCCACTTTCAGAGATGCAGGCACAGCTACTGTAGAACACCAAACTCACGAACCGCCAATAAAGGAATGCTCCAAACTCCCGAACGGCATACAATATAGCACTCCAAACACACGAACTGGAACCATACGAATCGCTGCTAGCAGACGAATAGGAAAAGCACCCAAGCGGCTAACACTCCTAGCAATCAGTCTCTATCAGCGTTCAGTAAATCCCCCCAAAGACGAGACAAGGCTCCGTGTTGAGGGTCAAGCAGTGGTCTGTTTAATGAGGGCTACCTGCCCAGTATTTATGCAGGTCTCCCACCTGGTGGACACTCCCCTAGGGGACCAAATGGGAGACTATGACAAAAGACAGACAAGTATCAATTTAGGAAACACAGACACATTGTATTCCCACAATGCATCCTGGCTTCCTCCCCTCTGCCCTGGAGCTAATTGAGAAGTAATTCAATTATCTCCCAGGACAAAGGCAAATCGCCATTATGCACGTGGGGATACTAAAACAAGAATTATTATTAAAATACACCATGTAGGACATGTTACATTAAAACTATACATTTAACATATACCCAGATAGCTCAGGTCTGAGCGCACATTATTAAGCGAATGGTACTCAGACCACACGAATACAGTTCAATCGCCATGGAGCCAAAGTCTTTACAAAGTTAGTTCTCATCCGAATGAGCTCCATGGGATTCCTATCTGGGGTATAATACAGGCAGGTAAAACTACCGAACACCGGGCCGTTCGTGCACTCCCGCCGAACAAGAAGGGAGGTCAGCGGCTTCAGCGGTGTTCGCGCCAAACTGTGTCCGTTTTTAGTTCCATGAGTCAGGCGTCGAACACCACTGTGCGTTCGCATGTTTAAAATGGCCGCGACCTCGTGTTTGTGATACGAATGGCGGCCACCCAGTATTCGTCAATTAAGCTGCAGTTAACCGCAGCTTCTGGGAGATCAATTGCCGGCACACTCCAGCTCCCAGGTGGTCTAGTCATTCGTGCGGTTGTTCGGTAGATTGAATCTACCGAACACCGGGCAGAAAAGCACGAATATGTTTTTTCTGCAGGGGAAACAAAGTCTTTTAACATTGGGCCATAATCGAGAGGCAGCAGGCGAGCAACCAGGCTTCTCCAATGCAATGTGGTGAGATTGCTCTCGTCACAGTTTACATGGTGTGTTCAATAAAAACATGGCAACATTTCATTCTTTGTGTGTTATTAGTTTAAGCATACTGTGATTGCCTATTGTTGTGACTTAGATGATGATCAGATCACATTTTATGACCAATTTGTGCAGAAATCCATATCATTCCAAAGGGTTCACATACTTTTTCTTGCAACTGTATATTTGTAGAAAGTACATCCCGCAGGCTATGTAACAGACTATTTTGACACTTTTAATTTAACCATTTTATCACAAACCTGGGTTAAATTAGTTCATTATTTTGTGTTTTTTTCCCACGTTTATTTTTTATTCACAGACCACAAGTGTCCAGTTACCGCAAACATGTTTGTATTCTGCTACTGTTTTTGAGTATTGTAATGGCAGAAGATGAAACCAGCTTAAGATCTGAGTGGGGACCCACCGACGCGCAGGCTAATTGAGCTGTTGTCCATACTCACCTATCTTGCTACTTGTTTTTCTCTCCATAAGTTTAAAGGGCAATCCAGACGTGGACCCCTTGTTCACGGTGCCTAGAGGGATATTGGCTATACCTCACTGATGATACCTTACAAGGTTGAAACGGTCATCTGGGGTTGCTGTATCTCTCGTGCAGACGGATCTTGCTGGCATTTTGGATCTGGACTGCCCATACGGGTAGGACCAGTCTGATATGCTTCAGATATGTTCTCTCTGCAATGGCACGAGATGAGCTAAAACCAGCTTTAGATCTGAGCGGGAACCCACTGAAGGGCAAGCTATTAGAGCTGTTGTCCGTTCTTTGCTAATTCAACCTATAATCTTACCCATAATCTAACCTCTCTTCCTGCCTATAATGCCACTCTAATCTAACCTAAAATCCTACCTATTGCCCCAGTCCAAATCCAACACTCTATTCCGACCACTCAAGGGATTCCCACTGCTGAAGTTAGTACTGATACCAGCAGAGGGATTTCCTAGCTCATCAGGCAGAGCCCTCTGTACATTGTGATGGCAGCATTAGTGAAAGCACAAAATACAGAGATCAGTGCTGGGCTTCTGGCAGAACCCAGTACCAACCTGTAGCAAGGGGCAAGCAGGAAGACCTCACTAGCAAGTCTGTTCATGCATGGGCATGCTGGGCAGTTGCCCATGGCCCCCACAGACTTGTCAACTTTTCAGTATATTATTCTGGGAAATGTATTAAGAACCTTCAAACCCTGTTTGTTAAATCATTTACGTGGACCAAGGAGTCAGGGTAGAGATACATAGAGCAGAATGGGGAGCGTGAGGGGACCAAAAATAGCCTCAATTTATTGGCAAAATGCATCTTCGCCTTTGTAGCCAAAAATACTTGCAACGGCCCTGACTGCATGATGGTTTGTACCATCATTGGGCATTAAAGGCTGGCACTGCATGATGCATAGATCATCAGGTGGTCATTAAGTGGTTAAAAAGCAGCTGTAATACTATTATGCGAAGGTCAACGCGACACAGAAGATTCGAATAGCCTAAAAGATAAACAATTTAGAAAAAGTTGCTTAAATATTTGGAGAAGAGCTTATGCTAGCACATAGTCACACTTCCACGGTTGCAATATGTTGATGAGATGACGTACATTTATGCAGCTACATTTTCAAGTTCTACATTAATGTCTTTTAGATCTGATTGTTAAACTAAGTCACCACAACAGGTGAAGATATATGGTTAATACATGATGAAAACAGAAATTCTCAGAATGTGGAGTAATACAGATTTGCATGACATTTTGAAATTAATGTTTCCTGAGCAAGGACAGCAAGGCGCACAATGTATACTGAAAAATAAAACTACTTAAATAGCTTAGATTGTTTTCATTTTAAGATGGGCAACTCATGGGGAGGGGACTGACATCCATGCTGAACACATATGCTTAATCGGAGCTCATTAACAATCAACTAATTACTCCTAATGTTTTAGCACATTAAAAGTAACTTTACGAAAGCCAGTCTGTGGACCTTGGTACCCTAAAAACTACTGATCTTTAGCAACTCACCACTAATTACTGAACTTTGAAATCTGCATAAGGGACACTCAACTGCCTAAATAAAATAAAAATTAATGTTAAAAAATCACTGTTTAGTAGATATGCCCCAAATAAAACACATGCATTTAATGATAGATTTTTTTGATTGCATGTTTATCTAAAAACTGCTTACAGTAGATGCAGATCTGTTGTCTGCAGTCTTTGCAAGGCCTCCCCTTCTAATCCCACCCACACTTTCTGTGGCTGTCCAATCACAGATTTCCCAATGCAACTCAATGAGAAGTCTTTGCAAGGCAGGTGCTCTGGGAAATTGCTGCCTCTTGAGTTTAGCTCCACTGAGCTAACCGAACCAGGAAGTAACAGGACTGGTTGTCTGATAGCCAGGGGGGTGAAACATGGTTAATTCATAAAAATTTTAATTGTTTTTGAAATCTACACTTTTTGTAAAATGAAAAGAGGACACTCTTCGCACATAAAGCATTTCTGTGAGATAAACTGCTTTAGGGGTCTGGAGTGTCCCGTTTACATTTAGGGATACACAATTCAGTTCATGGAGACCTGAAATTGTATCAGATACAATTAGTGATTCTAGTTCCGGTGTGCTGGCTTCCAGCATTTGTTTAGAGGATTAGTATGTCAGCCTCCAGGCAGCAGTTTCATTCACAAAATCCTATCAGTGTAACTACTGAATACATCAACAGCAGCCTGAACTGGAGATGAAATCAGCCCACTGACAGCTGTATTTACAGTCTGTAAATGGATCTGTCCATTCTCAGTGCCAAAACCACTAAAGCTTTCTCAAGGTGCTTTCCGTTCAAAGTGGGGATATGAATCATGTGCATCCATGTAGTATGCCCACGCTGCAAAATATTTGAATAGGCAAAGTGAGTATTTATAACTTGCTCATCTGAATAGGAGTTATACATGCCTGTGTCCTAGAAGACAGGGGACATCCATGCAATATAAGCTATGTACTACGCACCAACTGTTATAGCACATGGAGTAATGTGCCTTAAATTTTCAAGGAGATTTTTTTTTTCTTTTTTCAACATAACATGTCTACTCAAAACAGTGACATCAGATAAACAAATGACTATGTTTTACAAATTGCCTTTATTTCAGTTACTCAGCATTTATTATAAACATAACATATTATGGCAAATTACAGCAGTGAATATACAAGATCTCCTTTTTTAATTTAAATTTTTTACGAAAGAGTGCAACATTTTTTACTTTCCACAAATACCGGAACATTCCAAACAGTAATGAATAAAATGCATCATAGTTTGCTAAATGTTAAATCGTACATAATTGAAGGAATAATCCATGAGACAATGTAACCGTTAAAGGACCACTCTAGGCACCCAGACCACTTCAGCTTAATGAAGTGGTCTGGGTGCCAGGTCCAGCTAGGGTTAACCCATTCTTTTATAAACATAGCAGTTTCAGAGAAACTGCTATGTTTGTGAATGGGTTAATCCTTCCCCCAAAGCCTCTAGCGGCTGTCTCATTGACAGCCGCTAGAGGCGCTAGCGTGCTTCTCACTGTGATTTTCACAGTGAGAGCACGCCAGTGTCCATAGGAAAGCATTGTGAATGCTTTCCTATGCGACCGGCTGAATGCGCGCGCAGCTCTTGCAGCACGTGCGCATTCAGCCGAAGGGGAGGATCGGAGGAGGATCGGAAGAGGAGAGCTCCCCGCCCAGCGCTGGAAAAAGGTACGTTTTTACCCCTTTCCTCTCCCCAGAGCCGGGCGGGAGGGGGTCCGTGAGGGTGGGCGCACCCTCAGGGCACTATAGTGCCAGGAAAACGAGTATGTTTTCCTGGCACTATAGTGGTCCTTTAAGTAATTTGTTTTGTGTTTTCTTTGGGGATATATGAAATGTTGGCTTGCAATAGCTGTAGATCCGGTATATCGAGCTACTGCAATCTCTGCTTTATACGTTTGGATGGTTCCTTCAAATGGAACAGAAATTTGGTCTTTTAAGGCAATTTTCTAAACACCTTTTACTGCCTCCACTGTTTTCACATGTCTTTCTTGTATTTTAAATGGGCTATTCTCTAAACAAGGTCTTTCCCTTATTCCTTAGGGTTTCTGCGTAACTGTAAGAACATCTAGGGGTCTTATGATTGCATCCTCCTTTACTTAAATTTTTACTTTTTTTTGGTGTGGGGAGGTTGGGGTAGGATCTACAATACCTTCAGACCTACTTTTACCTCTAGATATTTTCCTTGCAAGCCAAAATATAATTTCAATGGGACAAAACGCAGTTTGGGTCAGGTCGTGCAGGGAGATTGGAAATCTAATAAATTATTTTCTCCCCACATTATTATTTAAGGACCATTTCTGCTTGGCCTGTTTGCTGCATCCCAACTACTTGCCTAATGCAAAGTGTTAAATGGGTAACATTGGTAAAATATATATTTTTATGAATAAATAAGCATAAAATTACGCATTAAAAAGCTCAAATAAAATTACAAAAAAATATTCAAATAAATAGTATGGCTATCTATGTACTCATGCAAAGTGAGCCACCTCTAATGTCTAAGTATCTATCTTAGTTAGGTAACAGTCTTGTGACCCATTTGGAACATTAGGCAAAATCCATCAGCACCGTGTTAAGCTTTTTTTTATGTATTTCAATTTTGCATAGTCTTTCTGAGTATATGTGTTTCGTGATCTGCATCGTGTATTCCTCAGCAGCGGTTTCTGAGCAGAGAGTAGTCCATGTTTATAGTATAAGAGTCCATGTCCAGATATACAGGAGACCATTGTAGTAAGGGTTACATTGTTATTGGCAAACTAGAGATCCTGAATGCTAGCATTTTAAAACCACTCAGGCCTCTTCTTCGGGATAAACCGGCTTGCCCAAGTACGGCCCTCGATAACCTCTGCTTTCACACTTTTTTTTTTTGTTTTCAGTTATATCCCAACATTACGAGTCATATCCAATGTGTCGCCAATTCATGCCAATTGTATCTACAAAACATTGCCTGCATCCGCCGTTTCCTTACACATGATGCTGCTAAGGAGCCTGTTCGTGCTCTTGTAGTTTATCTCATTGATTACTGAAATTCTGCTCCCTGTGCCCCCCTATATTTTTTTCACCAATTCATAGGTATACCCCTTCACTAGACGCAACGCTCTGCCGTTAAATATCTTCTGTCTGCTGCATGTACCCATACTGCTAACTCGCGCTTGCAGGCATCTCATCGCTGACTCTATATCTTCCATAAAACTTTCCCTAAAAAAGTCCTTAAAAATCCACCTCTTCAGAATCCAAACGTAACTGCTTTTACTCTCTCAACTAAATTAGTGGGTCCGTTCTTCACTTCACTCTCACTGTCCAGTTCTGCTAATGTTCTACCCTGTCATTTGGTTCCATTCCCTCACGCTGCCCTTCCTGGTGTGTATGGTCCTCATCAACCTATGGTTCCTGTCAAAATCTGTAACAGTTTGTCTCATTTATTGCTGAACTCCCCTTAATGATATTGTCAAGCACTGTGGAATTTGCTGGTGCAACATATATGTCAATAATACAAATTTAAATTGTAAAGGATTAAAAATAATAATAAATACACAACAATTATTATGCATAATAATACATTACAATCTATATATTTTTGCATATAACACAATGGTGTTTAAAGCTTACACATTAAAGTAACACTACCACCAAAACATTAATAATTGTTTTTTTAAATAAACAAAAGAATAGTATTTTTTTTATTCTTCGTTTTGCTTGTTAATTTGACTAATACTCTGTTACATCAAACAGCAACAAAAAAGAACACAAAGGCGAAAAAGCTGATCCAAAAATGAGGTAGTATTGCAAACCCTTGCTCTAAATCCAAAATAAATACTTTAACTTATTCTAGTTTCTATTATTTTATCATATTTTTGTTACGGCGTGAAGGCTACTTCATCAATGTTTAAGTGATGACAGGGATTGTTGAGTTTTCGATCTTGGAGTAGAATTCACAGTAAAAATTCTCTCTCATTCACAAATGATTTGATGACATTTGGGTGTATTTGGTAGCTGTATAAGATTTTTTGAACTTTTCAAAAACAAATGGGGTTTAATCAGTGGTGTATCCTGGTTTTGTGCCCCCTCCCCCCGTGCCACCCCACCCAATCCTTGCCCCCGCCCCACCTTCTAAATACACACACACATTCACTGACAGATACGCATACACTAGCTAACAGAAACACACACACACTAACAGACAAACACACTAACAGACACACACTCACTAACAGACACACACTCACTAACAGACACACACACACATATACATATAAAAGTGAACAAAGTGAACACTCAGTGTAGGAGATTAGAAAAAACCACCACTGGTGTACATGTGGAGCGCTCAAATGTTAACCAACTTACCCATATGGGTATGCATACAAATATATAAAGGGGATACTCTGAAACAGTGTATCTGAAACAAATAAATACAAATAGTGCAAGTAACGCTGGGTAACAGACACAGTAAGTAAATATACTATATAGACCCACTCACATGTAACTGAGCCAATTAGGATAGGCTCAGATCACAGCGGCGTGTGTGTACTTTAGGCGACACAAAACCCAATCGATCCTCTACTTGTCTGTGGTCCTTATACATACATAAAGGAAGTAAAAAAGGAGAGATCCTTGTGTAGTAAATCACAATGTTCAATGGTGAATATTTAAATAAATGGCTTCTCACCTGGTAGGGAGCCCTTATACCTGGCTCCTAGTATGTAGGTTTCTGTGCCTTTAAGGAGGCTACCACCCTTCTTTTACCAGCAAAAAGATGGAAGAAGGACTTCAATGTTGGACAAAATTTATTCATTAAAATATAATGCAAACAAAATAAAGGAAGTATTAAATTATATAAAGAAAAATGAATAAAAAGTCAATTAAAAGTCCTTTCTTCCAGCCGAGACGCGTTTTGCTGTACTGTGACAGCTTTCTCAATCGGTAATGTGTTTGCTGCTTGCGGAGGTTTAAATATCATGTCTTTCTATTTGATTGGTGCTCCAATCTTCTTATTATCCAATCCCCATACTGACATACTTCTTTGCAGGATAATTCTTATTGGTAGCCGTCAAGCTTCCGGTTTCGGTGCGTTCCACGTGACTCAATCAAAGTTTTTTCTAATCTCCTACACTTTGTTCACTTTTATATGTATATATAGGGTGGAGAGTCCCTATTCACAGTGGTAGCTGCTATAATTATTTCACGATAAACGTTTTGTTTGTAAATCTTTAAACACACACATATACACACACTTACTCACATTAACATATTTTTTTTACTTATTAAATCCCCGCCCCCCAGCCTCCTTACCTTTGGGAATGCTGGGCGGGGGAGGGTGGTCCAGTGGTGGTCCAGTGGCTGCTGAGCAGTCGGGCGGCTGGCGGGCGCGCGGTTGGGAGCACTTCCTCTGAGCTGTCTGCTCAGCTCCCTCGCGCACCGCAGAGTGAGGCTGGGAGCCGGAATAAGACGTCATATTCCGGCTCCCAGCCTCACTCTGCGGCGCGCGAGGGAGCTGAGCAGACCGCTCAGAAAAAGAGCTACCTCGCCAGCCGCCCGATCAGCATGTCAGTTAGCCACGAGGTTAACAAGGCATTTGCCCTGGGCACTTGGGGGGCGGCTTTTTTTGCCGCCCCCTGGAAAATGCCGCCCAAGGCAAATGCCTTGTTAACCTCGCGGCTAAAATGCCCCTGGGTTTAATACAAACAGGTGATGTTTATTTTTACTCAGGAGAGCTGTGACTGTGAGACAGATTAATCTAATGGTTCCCAAACTTTTTAGGCTCAAGGCGCCCTTAGTATTTCAGTACTTTTCCAAGGCACCCCAAGTCAAAATTTCTAGGTTGTATATCTGTACAGCGCTGCGGCATTTACTGGCGCTATAGTGTAATGTACAGTGATGGTGTTTGAAGGGGTGCTTGTATACATTTATTGTGTTTTAATACAGGGGTGTGTTTGTATGTAATGTTTGCGTTTGATTGCAGGGATGTGTCTGAATGTAATGTTCACATTTAAATGCGGATGTACATTTGTGTGAGGTATTTGTGTTTGAGTGAGGGGGTGTGTTTGTATATATTTTTTTAATTTGAATGCAGGGGTGTGTGTATTTAATATTTGTGTTAGATTGCAGGAGTGTGCTTGTATGTTGTGCTGGTGTTTGACTGCTTGAATGTATGCACATACATACATACTTACACAGATATTCATGCATGTTAACACACAGATGCATATAAATACACCGACACATACACACAAATTCATACAGATAACAATGCCACCAATGTACAGGTTTCATGGTGTTGTGGAAAGTTACAGGGTCAAAATAAAAGCTTGCCCAGTTTTTACATATTTAAATTTACCCTGTGACTTTCCAAAACACCATAAAATCTGTAAATAGGGGGTACTGTTGTACTTGTGAGACATTGAGACATAGCTGAATGTTTTACTATTAGTGTTTTAGAGTACTAAAATGTATCACGATGATGATGATATCATCGGTGAAAGTGCCGTTTTTGTGTGAAAAATGCAAAAAAACTAATAGCCAGGCAAATTGTGGCTAAGTGACTACTAAAAAAGACTGGACATACCACATTTTGAATACCCTGGGCAAAGACAGAAGAGGCAAAGACAGAGGACAATACCTAGCTGGAAAAGGGGGGCAGCAGCCTGGTCCGGTAAGAGAGGCCCTCAAAACCCTCAGTCCAGCTTTGGTGACTGGGTCTGAAGCACTCCAGAGTCCCTGGTAACAGAGATTAGGTTGACCTGGCAGAGGTACTCAGTTGGAGTACGGGAGCTCTGTTATAAGGTTATATGTGTTTTGTAAGTAAGATCGAGATTGTTTTGGTGTACCCGATTTTCATATCGTTACAGGGTTTGTGACTAAATGGCTACTGTAACGGCACCCCCAGACATAAAAGGGCTAAACCGCCGTTTAGTAGATCTTCCCTTCCAGAGACACAGGCACAGCTACTGCAGAACACCAATCCGCCGAACAGGAAACCATATGAATGCTGTAATCAGCTGAATAGGAAAAACCATACAAATAGGTTTACACTCCTAGCAGTCGAACTGGAACAGCATGATAAATCCCCCCAAGAACAAGACAAAGCTCCGTGTCGAGGGTCAAGCAGTGAACAGACAGAGCTGTGGGTTTATTGTTCTTATATACACATTAGTACCACCCACAGGGTTTTGGAACACAACCAATAAACACATACAAAACACTCAGACACTCCCACACAAAATCCTCCCCTCTGCCTGTGATACAATTACCTTACACAATGGGTAATGTAATTATCACAAGCAGAGAAATACAATTTTTCCACATTATTCATAACTTGAAAAGTATGCATCACATTCACATAAAAAAAACCTTACATTTTCAGAATCAGCATACTCCAAATACAAACATATGTCAAAATCATCCAAATTGGTCCATTGGTTCAAAAGATAGATCGTAGTCCTTTGTGACCAAATGAAGCATGGCTTTTCTGCCCAAAACCAGTTCCACCGAGTCTTCTATCCTGGAGATAATTGGGAAGTAATCCAATTATCTCCAAGGACAGAGGCAAAACTCCATTAAGCACATGGCAGTAAAAAGACAGTAAAATACAATAAAATACACAAGGTTACATTTATTACATAAAATACAGACATGCAACATATCCCCAGATAGCTTAGGTCTGAGCACACATTATTACTGAATTGGGCTCAGACCACACACATACAGTTCAATTGCCATGGAGCCAAAGTCTTTCCCATAGTCTTTCATTATATGAATGGGCTCCATGGCATAGCTATCTGGCGTATCACCGCTCAAACAGGACAAACCGAATGACCCGGCTTTCATGTCTTTGCAGGGGAAAATCAAGCGTTTCAACATGGGGCCATAGTCTAAAGGCAGCAGGCGGGCAACCAGGCTCCTCCAATGCACAGTGGCGAGATTGTCTCGTCACAGCTACTAAATAAGACTGGACATACCCAATTTAGAATTGACTAGTTTTGCAAATGGTATGCCATGATGGGGGTAATTCTCATTCCAGGCAAACCAATCTAGCAAATTTCAGTGAGTAAAAACTGAAAAGTGGAAAGCTCTATATTAGACATTGTAACTTTCCAAAACTCCATAAAAACCTGGGGGTAGTGTTTTAATCATGAGACATTATTGAACCGCGGGGAAAACGAGGCAGCTGCCCCGGGCCCAGTTACTCCCACCCGCCGGTGAGCCACACTAAGGAGGCCAACCGGGTGGCCCATGCACTAAGGACCACCCGGTGGGCTTCTGTGAGCGGGGGCCCAGTCTTGCGATCTGGCCCTCTCGCTTTTCGTCAGCTGGGCTGAAGTGACGGCCGCAAGTCACTTCCTCCCATAAAGAGAGGAGCCGCGTGGGAGGAGGAAGAGGAAGAGCGGAGGGCATCTGGGCCGAGCCGAACTAGCTAGACCCCCAACTCCCAACAGCTTCAGCCACCAGTGGGAACATCATCCTCCAAGGTAGGACACTGGAGGGTGGGTTTAATAGTGTAAATTTTGTGTGTCTGTGTGTGTGTGTGTCAGTATGTCTGCCAGTGTGTGTGTGTACCTGTGAATGTCTCAGTATATGTCTGTATGTCATTATGTCTGTCAGTGTATGTGTCAGTATGTCTGCCTGTGTGTGTCATTATGTCTGTCAGTCTATGTGTCAGTATTTCTGCTTGTGTGTGTCAATAGGTCTGTCAGTATGTCTGCCTGTGTGCGTTAGAATGTCTGTCAGTGTATGTGTCAGTATGCCTGTCAGTGTGTGTGTATCTGTGAATGTCTCAGTATATGTCTATGTCAGTATGTCTGTCAATGTATGTGTCAGTATGTCTGCCTGTGTGTGTCAGTATGTCTGTCAGTGTGTGTGTCAGTATGCCTGTGAATGTATGTCCGTATGTCTTTGTATATGTGTGTTTCAATATGTCTGTCAGTGTATGTGTCAGTATGCCTGTGTGTGTCTGTGAATGTGTGTCAATGTAGATCTACCTTTTAAACATCTTTGCAATATGGAGAGCCCAAAAAATATTCTTGCACCTCTCTACTTTAGGATGCCACTGCGTTAAGGGTGATTGCACACCTGGGGAGGTTGTACAGGGTCCAGAAGGCCCAAGCAAATGCTTTGCCCAGGGTCCAATCAATATTAAAGACGACCCTGCACGCAGAAATTGAAAAATGAACATTTCTTAGATTTTAACCCCTTAAGGACTGGACTGTTTTTGCGATGTTGTACATTAGCGACCAGGCATATTTTTACACTTTTGTGGTGTTTGTGTTTGGCTGTAATTTTCCGCTCTCTCATTTACTGTTCCCACACAAATTATATATTTTTTTTTCAGGACAAAAGGGGCTTTCTTTACATACCATTATTTATATAATCTCATGTATTTTAATTAAAAAAAAATATGATGAAAAATTGAAAAAAATACATGTTTTTTGACTTTTACTTGAAAAATCTTTTACTCATCTACAAAAACGAATGAAAAAAACTGCTAAATAGATTCAAAGTTTTGTCCTGAGTTTAAAAATACCCAGTGTTTACGTGCTTTTTTTTGCATGTTATAGGGCTATAGGTACAAGTAGGATATTGTGGTTTCAAAACATACATTTTTAAAATTTATCAATAGTGACATTGTAACACTATTATCTGTCATAAATCTCTGAATAACACCCCACATGTACGTATTTTTTTTTAAAGTAGACAACCCAGGGTATTCAATATGGGGTATGTCCAGTCTTTTTTAGTAGCCACTTAGTCGAAAACACTGGCCAAAGTAAGCATTCATATTTGTTTGTGTGTGAAAAAAGTAAAAAAACTAAATTGAACGCTAATTTTGGCCAGTGTTTGTGACCAAGTGGTTACTAAAAAAGACTTGACATACCCCATTTGCAATACCTTGGGTTGTCTTCTTTTGCAAATGGTATGCCATCATGGGGGTAATTCTCATTCCTGGGCTACCATACGTTCTGAAAGGCAATGTAACCAACCTGGCCATTTTCAATGTAAAAATATTTGACCGATATATTTGACCCTGTAACTTTCAAAAATGCGATAAAACCTGTACATGTGGGGTGCTGTTTTACTCGGGAAAAACTGGAAAACGTATCAAAACAATTATATTATCAGTAAAAGTGCTGTTTGTGTGTGAAAAATGCAAAAAAAGTCACTTTCACTGACAATATCATCGCTGTGATATGTTTTACTGTTTTGAATCACTAATATTTGTGTTCAGCGAAGTCTCCCGAGTAAAACAGTACCCCCCATGTACAGGTTTTAGGAAGTCGTAGAACGTTAAAGGGTAAAATACAGTGCTAGCAAATTAAATTCTCTGGACTTTCGGCCTGGGTTGGCAGGCAGGTCTCTCAAATTGCAATCAATAAAATTACTTATGTAAAAATATTACATAAATACGCACGTAGAATTTAAATATATATGCATATTTATATAGCTGAAGTCTACGTGTATATTTATATAATTATTTATGTAATTTTGTACATGGACATGTATATTTCGTATTATTTTTATTTATTTATATATACATAGATATATATACAAATTCATTCTAAGTTTATTTTGATATAAATATATATAAATTTTAAAATACAGTTAGAATAAAATTTCATATAGATATAATTTTTTTTCAATTTTTATTATTTTTTTTAAAAATTTATTTAAATTACTTATTATTTATATTTTACAATATATATATATACACAATATATAAAGTTATTATATATATTATATATATACGTGTTTAATTTAATTATAAGTGTATTTTTATATTAATATAAGTACATATTAATATAAAAATACACTTAGTATGACATTATATACATATGATATATAGACATATATTATATATAAATATATATATAATATATGTCTATATATCATATATATATATATATATATATATACACACATACGCACACACATATAATTTTTTTTAATTTTTATTAACACTAACTTTATTTTTTTTATTGATTTTACACATGCAGGGAGACTGCCTGTCAGCACAGACAGTCCCCCTGCAGGCAGACATCTATTGTGACCATGTGATCGCTGTGTTAAGTGATCACATGGCCACAGGGGTCCTAATCCAGCGTGGGGAGACTGTCCCACAACGGGAGCAACGCTGATCGCCGACGGGGGAACGACGGCGATCAGGTAAGTAACTAAGACCGTTGGGACGGTTCAGGACCGTCATCGGTCGGCAATGGGAAAATGCCGATGACGGTCCTGAACCGTCCTCGGTCCTTAAGGGGTTAATCATATAAAATTATGCTTCATAAATAAAATTTTGATGGGAAATTAATGCCCTGTTTCTCCTGAACAAAATGATTAATAATAAGTGTGGGTGCAATTAATATGAAAGCGGTGAATTATGATTGACCAGACATATAGCTCAAATCCTAGGTTTCATTTTGGTTCAGAACTTGGACAATATCCTCTGTCCTTAAGGGGTTAACAGTTCTTCCTAGACCTGCAGCTTAATACGTATACACCAAAAATAAAGAAAAAAAGAGGTAGAAACTTATGGTGAGCTGATCTTTTATGCATAAGATCTGAAGATTATTTTTGTTTCCCCAATATTCTAATATTGACTACAACTCCCATTAACTTCAAACAAAAAGAGACATGGTACAAAACAGCTACCGTAGAGTAACCTCACTCGCCATTTCAGGAGGTAGATAATTACTTTTGTGCATTACCTGTATATCACTGTAAATCCATTGGGCACAGAAATAAAAAAAAAAAAAAAAAAAGAGGACAATTGACCATAAATCAGCCATGGACTGTACAGTTTCAACCCAAAAGTCGATGGATGCAGAATGTATTGATATTTGTGTAACCATTTTTAAAAGAACACTATAGTGTCAGGAATACAAATGTGTATTCCTGATGCAATAGTGGAAAAATCACTATTTAGGTCCACTGTCCCCCTCTCTTTACTCACTTTACTTTTTTCCAGCACCGTGCCAGTGTCACCTCGGCCGGCCCTGCCTTGCCCCTGATCATTGAATGTGACAATCTCAGCCAATCCAATGCTTTCCCATAGGCTATTGCAGGGCTTGAAAATTTTGTTAGCAATCTAGGAGCCGCTAAAAAAGTTAGGAGCCCGTCATTTTCAGCGAGACAAAATGTAATTCTTAAAGGGACACTATAGTCACCATAAACACTACAGCTTGATGTAGTCTAAAGCCTGTCCCTGCAGGCTTTTTTAATGTAAACCCTGCCTTTTCAGCTGAAATGCAGGGTTTACATTGTGCTTAGTAACACCTCTAGTGACAGTCACTCAGACAGCCACTAGAGAGTCCTGGGTCACTGCTGCACAGTGTGCAGCACCCACGTTCAGTGTCTCCAAGCTCTGTATGTCTCAAGTGGGACTTTGTGAAGTGTCCAATTCTTTTTTTTTTTTTTTTAAATAGTTAAAATATAAAAATTACACATAGCATAGTGATATTTAATTCACGACTACACTATTTTAATGTTTAGGTGGTAGTGTTTCGTTAATGAAATGTACTTTACCAATAACAATGTCACCCTTACTATTTGTATGAGGTAGCCAGTAATTGACAGTCATCAAGATTATCCATCTGAAAATAAAAGTAACAGATAATTAGTTTCATGTGTATATGGCAGAGATTGTCTCCTTAATCCTTTGTATTGTCTCCTTCTGTATGAGGCAGTTAAGTTGTGCCCTCATTGTTCACCTCTGACTAATCGATTGTAGCTGTAATCTTTCACACTTGGACAGAGTCACTGCAAGTTTTTTGCTCTCAAAAAAAATAGAACAATGAAAAATACAAATATATAGGTCCAGGGGTTAATCCTTAATTCTAAATGAGAATGTTTAGCCATTTCCAAGAGTTAAAACAGATGGGACCTGCTAACTGGTGTTTGCAAGTAGTGCACAATTCATCCTTATGATAAGTAACCACCCAATACCCATACAGTGTGTAGTTTGTTGTAAGTGGTAAAAATATAGTTCATGAGGTTCCTTCACTCATCGGTTAGTGATTACTTAAACTTAACAGTATATATAAAATAGTAGGGAACATACAAAAAGGCTTTATTGAAAAAAGGGCCAAAAGGTCTGTACTAAAATAGCATTTGTATTATGTCCACAGGACATTATAAGTGACCAAGCATAGGGAGAAAGGTCGATAATGAGCCTAACAATCTAACAGCTATAAACATATATGGAGGTTATATACAAACAGACAGTCTCTTTCTGTTCTCTAAACCAGTTTAAAGGAACACTTTAGAGTCAGGAATACAAACATGTATTCATATCACTATAGTTCTAAAACCGCTGTTTAAAGGACCACTATAGGCACCCAGACCACTTCAGCTTAATGAAGTGGTCTGGGTGCCTGGTCCATCTAGGGTTAACCCTTTTTTCTATAAACATAGCGGTTTCAGAGAAACCGCTATATTTATGCTAGGGTTAATCCAGCCTCTAGTGGCCGTCTCATTGACAGCCTCTAGAGGGCTTCCACGTTTCTCACTGTGAGAAGACGCCAGCATCCATAGAAAAGCATTGTGAATTCCTATGGACTGGCTGAATGCGTGCGCGGCTCCTGCCGCGCATGCGCATTCAGCCGAAGAGGAGCTCCCCGCCTTGCGCTGGAGAAGAGGTAAGTTTAACCCCTTCCTCTCCATCCAGCCCGACGGGAAGGGGATCCTGAGGGTGGGGGGGACCCGGGTGGGGGGGACCCTCAGGGCCCTATAGTGCCAGGAAAATGAGTATATTTTTCTGGCACTATAGTGGTCCTTTAAGTATCCAGTCCCCTCTTGCCCCCGGTTAAAAAGGTAGTTAACTTACCTTATTTAGAGCACTGCTTCGGTTTTGTCACTGCTGGCCCCGCCCTGCCTACTTGGTTGAGTTCCTAAAATGCTGCACTAATCGGCATCTGCATGTTTGCAGACTTTCTAATTGCGCGTGGGCTTAGGATGAAGGTAGTCCTTCTGACCATAGATTGCTAAAGATGGCCACCCTCAAGGAAAAGCACATAAAGTTATTAACTGTTATATATCCTTGATATAATAATACACAACAAAGGTTGTAGCACATCATCATTTATTATTTTTAATAATAAAAAAATTATGATGGTTTTACTTTAAGTCAATTATGCGTCTGTACTTTATTTACACACCAAAATTAAAGATAAAAAAATATATAATAATAAATAAATAAAATAAAAATAATAAAAAACCATGATATACAGACAGACCTCCAGAGCTAAATCTGTAAAAAAAAAAAAAAAATTATTGCTAAACGCTCAGCTGGTAGTTTAAAAAAAAAAAAAAAAAAGTCTGTTAGCTAGACATTTCTAACTCAAAAAAGAATGTGTTTAGTGTGAGCTATTTTGGTCCAGTGCTTACCCAGTAGAATGGCCATCATTTAAGGCTGAAAATAGATCTATAATTGACCCTCTGCAGCTTCCTGCCAGCCTCGATCTTTTCCATCATGTGAATCTCCTGGCCTGTGTAAAAAAACAATTATGTATGTATTGTATGTATACAGAGGCGTAACTAGAAACCACAGGGCCCGGGGCGAAAATAGCCCACAACATACACACACATACAGATTCACATACATACAAACTTACATACAGTATCTCACAAAAGTGAGTACACACCTCACATTTTTGTAAATATTTTAATATATCTATAACACTGAAGAAATTACACTCTGCTACAATGTGAAGTAGTAAGTGTAAGTAGTAAGAGACTGGTAAACTCCATGCCCATGAAGGTTAAGGCAGTGCTGGAAAATAATGGTGGCCACACAAAATATTGACGCTTTGGGCCCAATTTGAAAATTTCAACTTAGGGGTGTGCTCACTTTTGTTGCCAACGGTTTTGACTGTGTGTTGAGTTAGTTTGAGGGGACAGCAAATGTACCCTGTTATACAGACTGTACACTCACTACTACTACATTGCAGCAGAGTAATTTCTTCAGTGAGGTCACATGAAAAAATGTGAAGGATATGCTCACTTTTGTGAGATACTTTTCATACAAACACACACACACAGACACACAGACATACACATAGACACACATACAAACATTCATACAGACACAAACACACACACATACAAACAAACACACACATATACAAAATGTTTAAGTGACCCTACTGTTTCCTATCTTTCAGCCTGAAGGTAGTCAGAGTTCCCACTCTGACTTCTTCCTCTCCTTCCTCCTGTGTGGCTCCCGGTGCAAGCTGGAAGGAGTGACCAGAGCAGTCACTTCCTCCAAGCTCTGATGTCATCACACGTGGGCCGGTCGAGCTGTTTAAGCGCCGCAGCGCTGACCGGGCCCCTCGTGAAATTAATTCTGTGGCATTGTTTGATAAAACTGCACGTTTTAGAGTGGCCTTTTATTGTGGCCAGTGTAAGGCACACCTGTGCAATGATCATGTTGTCTAATCAGCATCTTGATATGCCACACCTGTGAGGTGGATGGATTATCTCGGCAAAGGAGAAATGCTCACTAACACAGATTTAGTGAGCACTATTTGAGAGAAATAGGCCTTTTGTAAATAGAAAAAGTCTTAGATCTTTGAGTTCAGCTCATGAAAAATTGGGGCAAAAACAAAAGTGTTGCATTTATAATTTTGTTCATTGTAGGTAAGTATTTATCTCTCTTTCTCACAAACAGAGCATGTTCTGAGAATACATAGAGCAAAATATGAGTGCAAATAGAAGAACATAGAAATGGTAGAACCGATAAACTGGTGCCCAGGAAATATCTCTATACAATATCCTTAAAGGGAAACTACAGTGCTAGGAAAACTAAGATGTTTTCCTGGCACTATAGCTCCCTTTTAGCGTTCCCCTTCTTTCCCCGTGGTGCAGAAAGGGGTGCCAATGTCTCTCAGAGCTGGCTCGGGCTCGTCCCCTGCCCACATCAGCTGACAAGGGAGACCTGGCCGTGCAATGGCAATGCAATGCAATGGCCGTGCTCGCATTAGGATTTCCCCATAGGAAAGCATTATACAGTGCTTTAGTATGGGGTTTCAGGTGACGCTGGATGCCTAGCGTGAGGGAGTCCAGCATCAGTTATGCAACCAAAAGTCACCTAACGACCCGTAAGTCCCTCTAGTAGCTGTCTGGTAGACAGCAACTAGAGGTGAAGTTAATCCACAAAGGTAATTATTGCAGTTTATTAAAAACTGCAAGAATTACCTTTGCAGGATTAAGGGACCTGGGACAGTGCACCAAGACCACTTCAATGAGCTGAAATGTTCTGTGTGCCCATAGTGATCCTTTAAATTAAGTAATTTCCGCTATACTCACGAACACTGACAAGGGAACTGAAAAAAATTAGACCACATCAGCCAAACACTAACTCTTTTTTTAAAATTAGAAATATTTCCAATAATTTACCGGCAGAGAGTACACTTCTTCTTGGAACACACTCACAGCTGCATTGAGAGAAGGGAGACAGCAGCCTGGACCAGCTTAAACCAACTTCTATCTGCCCCACATAACTCCTACTGACCCCAGGAAAGCCACCTTTCTGCCCCAACAGCAGTGTGGCAAACATGGCCACTTGGACACTATAAAGAGACTGTGCCTTTAAGGGTTGCCTATATGGTTGTGGGATATGGGCTTAACTATGTAGAATGTATGCGGGTTGTAATTTACATGTATTTGCTGTATTGGCCATCTGCCGAATGCAGATAGCTGTTTGTATTGGATTTTCTTTCGTTTCACGAACTGCACTTTTGCGGGCCGTTCGTGAACCAAAAATACCCCCATGTATTAGCCCACACACTTAGAGACGTGTGGCACTTGTTAACTGATTGCAACAATGTTGCAATTGGTAATTAGAGGCTCTGCGAGGTGTCCGCCGTTCGACTACCGACCATGCGGCGGTCGTCCATCTTGGATCCTTTGTTCCCTCAGCGGTGTTAGGTCGTTGAGCGCATGGTACTAAAAACGGCTACTCGACGGCATGAACACCGCTGAGTCTCCAGGCCGTTCGGGAGTTCCGGGCCGTTCGGTACTTTGTTCCCTGGAAGGCAATCGGTCATTTAAACATGTATTTTAATAAATGTGTTTTTCGTGCGGCGTTCGGTTGTTTTAGCTGGGATCTGAGCGTTAATCTCACGAATGAGGCGCTCAGACCCCAGCTATCTACCGAACGTCCATTCGTGCAAATAGACCGTATATTACCACAGTTATGCATTTTAATATAAATTGTCGGTTCTGCTGCACGGAGGGATAATCCACTTAACGGTACATTCCTGTGGGAGGATCCTTCTTGTGCAGCAGGGCCTGATGGGAGAAATGCCCTGTACAATAAGTCTCCATGTAGTCCACTCTGGGAATGCCCCTGGGAGGGGACTCAGGAAACCCCTTGCATGGGGACTTGTATAAATTGTGGAGCTGAAAATAAAGACCTCAGTTGACTCTCAGAACTGTGTTTCGTCCGGTTAATGGGAGGTTTGGGATATTGCCTTGCTTTTTCCAGAGCTTGACTGTGGATTACTTCCTGAACCAGCGGAATTCGTGGATTTAATATTGGCGTTCCGCTACAAGCAGGGTGACTAAAATATGTAATTTCTTTATTCTATATGGGTGTGTCAGTGTGTGCATATCTGTGGTGTGTCTCTGTATCACTGTGTATGTTACTGTGTGCATCTGTATGTGCATGTGATTCAATGTGTCATTGTATGTCAGTGTGTATATATGCTTCAATGTATTTATAAGTGTGCATCAATTTGTGTTTAGATGTACCTCTATGTGACACTGTATGTATGTCTGTGTATATCTTTGAGGCAGGATCTGTGTATTGATGTGTATCAGCATTTGCGGAAGTGTTATGTGTGTATGTGAATATGTCTCTAACAACAATACACACACGTACACTCCTGCATTCACACACACATATACACCATACTTGTACAAGTCTTCGTTCATGCAATTGTGGATCTACATTTTGGCCTGGGGTTCTCTTTGACTTAGTTCTGCCACTGATATCAGACTAGTCCTACTAACAAGGTCAGTATTGAAATGCCACAAATGATCATTTGAACCCTCAACAATCCTCGTCTGTGAGGCACAATTAGCTTTTTTTTTTTTAATGCCATCCTTACTGTGTGAATTCAATCTCTCTGTCATCCGCTTCATGATATTTTAGTTGTCTGTAGAGAAAAGTACATATGGAACAATATATTTATTAGCATGAATATTATTAATCATAGTGAATTGCAGAGAATATACATACATGTAGTACTGCAAGGCTTGGGATAGCAGCTTGAGAATTGGGGAATCTTCAACCACCATAAGCACTACAATATTTACTGTGTTTATAATGCTAGGAAACTGGTCCTGTAGTTTTTTTCGTGTGCTCATTATTTTTATATTTGTATTATTTTTAATGTGAACTCCTTCCCAAGTTTCCCAATTCAGCTGCCCGAGCACAGCTCAGTGAGTGAAGAAGATTAACTTGCACTGTGTAAGATACCACAGTATTTACTCCATGGCTTAATGTGGCATGAATAAGTAGGTGCTGAATATATGGGTAGGTGCTGAAGTTCGATACAGGTAGAAATGATTGTTTTGTATCACCTGCATATCTCAAGTGGGACTTTGTGAAGTGCCCAATTTTTTTTTTTTTTTTTTTTTTAAATAGTTAAAATATAAAAATTACACGTAGCATAGTGATATTTAATTCACTACTACACTATTTTAATGTTTAGGTGGTAGTGTTTCGTTAATGAAATGTACATTACCAATAACAATGTCACCCTTACTATTTGTATGAGGTAGCCAGATATCAAATGGACCCTTCTAATACTATAACCTCTACAGGCCATTATATAGCTCATGGTGCTAGCAAGCTACTGGGGCTGCTTCTTGGTTTTGTGTCGAAACATTTTTATGTCATTGGACGCAAACTGAAAGTCTACCAGGTGCCTGTGTTCCCAGGGCCAATTTAGCAGCATTATAGGCCCCCGGACAAAGCAGTGCACTGGGGGCCTGCCTATACAACCATTCCCAGGAATAAAAAAAGTCAATTATCGATAAAATGTATCTTATATTTATTGGTACCTCAAACAGAAACAGTGTTTAAACATTAAAAAGCATGCTGTACAGCAGAGATTAATCCGCACAAACATTTAATAGGTAGCAGGGGGCGGCAGCTGACATGTACTGTTAAAAATATTAGATGAACTTTATTATAGCTTTATGGCTTAAAAACATTCTGTGTGCCAATTTTGTCTTGCTTATGTACAATTAGTACGTGTACGTTGTTTTCACCAAGGTCAAGATATGTATTCACCACAGCAAGAATGTATGTAAAGATAACAGCTGATATTAAGGTGATTAGTCCAGCTAAACATTTTCATAAGGTGAGTTTGAAGGTTCTGAATAAATCTCCCGGAATAATACAGTGAGTGCAGAATTATTAGGCAAATGAGTGTTTTGACCACATCATCCTCTTTATGCATGTTGTCTTACTCCAAGCTGTATAAGCTCGAAAGCCTACTACCAATTAAGCATATTAGGTGATGTGCATCTCTGTAATGAGAAGGGGTGTGGTCTAATGACATCAACACCCTATATCAGGTGTGCATAATTATTAGGCAACTTCCTTTCCTTTGGCAAAATGGGTCAAAAGAAGGACTTGACAGGCTCAGAAAAGTCAAAAATAGTGAGATATCTTGCAGAGGGATGCAGCACTCTTAAAATTGCAAAGCTTCTGAAGCGTGATCATCGAACAATCAAGCGTTTCATTCAAAATAGTCAACAGGGTCGCAAGAAGCGTGTGGAAAAACCAAGGCGCAAAATAACTGCCCATGAACTGAGAAAAGTCAAGCGTGCAGCTGCCACGATGCCACTTGCCACCAGTTTGGCCATATTTCAGAGCTGCAACATCACTGGAGTGCCCAAAAGCACAAGGTGTGCAATACTCAGAGACATGGCCAAGGTAAGAAAGGCTGAAAGACGACCACCACTGAACAAGACACACAAGCTGAAACGTCAAGACTGGGCCAAGAAATATCTCAAGACTGATTTTTCTAAGGTTTTATGGACTGATGAAATGAGAGTGAGTCTTGATGGGCCAGATGGATGGGCCCGTGGCTGGATTGGTAAAGGGCAGAGAGCTCCAGTCCGACTCAGACGCCAGCAAGGTGGAGGTGGAGTACTGGTTTGGGCTGGTATCATCAAAGATGAGCTTGTGGGGCCTTTTCGGGTTGAGGATGGAGTCAAGCTCAACTCCCAGTCCTACTGCCAGTTCCTGGAAGACACCTTCTTCAAGCAGTGGTACAGGAAGAAGTCTGCATCCTTCAAGAAAAACATGATTTTCATGCAGGACAATGCTCCATCACACGCGTCCAAGTACTCCACAGCGTGGCTGGCAAGAAAGGGTATAAAAGAAGAAAATCTAATGACATGGCCTCCTTGTTCACCTGATCTGAACCCCATTGAGAACCTGTGGTCCATCATCAAATGTGAGATTTACAAGGAGGGAAAACAGTACACCTCTCTGAACAGTGTCTGGGAGGCTGTGGTTGCTGCTGCACGCAATGTTGATGGTGAACAGATCAAAACACTGACAGAATCCATGGATGGCAGGCTTTTGAGTGTCCTTGCAAAGAAAGGTGGCTATATTGGTCACTGATTTGTTTTTGTTTTGTTTTTGAATGTCAGAAATGTATATTTGTGAATGTTGAGATGTTATATTGGTTTCACTGGTAATAATAAATAATTGAAATGGGTATATATTTGTTTTTTGTTAAGTTGCCTAATAATTATGCACAGTAATAGTCACCTGCACACACAGATATCCCCCTAACATAGCTAAAACTAAAAACAAACTAAAAACTACTTCCAAAAATATTCAGCTTTGATATTAATGAGTTTTTTGGGTCCATTGAGAACATGGTTGTTGTTCAATAATAAAATTAATCCTCAAAAATACAACTTGCCTAATAATTCTGCACTCCCTGTATATATATATATATGGCGTGTGTTTGTGCTTTAGGGTGCACACCCTATTGCAATAGGCTGCGCACGCCTATGCTCACTTTCCTAATCTATAGGCTGCTGCCCCCCCCCAAATCTATAGGCTGCTGCCCCCCCAAAATCTATAGGCTGCTGCCCCCTCCCCAAAATCTATAGGCTATCTCAAACCCTCCCACCATCCCCCACTTACCTGATCTGTAGGCTGTCTCTGGCTGCATGTGTTGTTCCCCTGCGGTTTCAATCAGCAGAGAGAAGCAGGGATAAGATGCAGCTTCCTATCCCTGTCTCTCTCCATACACAGCGCCACCTACTGCCCGGCGCCGGTATTGCAGTTCATTTTAAATCTCACACGAAAAATAGCAGAACAAGCTGAAAAATCCAGGGGGGGCACGTGCCCCCTTTTGCCCCCCCCTGCGGACGCCCATGCCCAGACGCAATGGACTAGTACATGTCTCCAAACCACCTTAACCCCAAACGAACTACAATCACTTGCCTGAACCTCTTTTCTACTGTGCCTCCCCAGCTGAGAGAGCCTAACCAATCACCCAGTGAGTCCCAGGTATCTGCAGAGCTTCTGCGTGGGACCATTGAGGCTAGGCAACTCTGATCTGTGCACTTTTTGGACTGAGTACACTTTTGGGGGGAGAGTTTTCTGGAAATGCTACAAGTTTGGGAATGCAAAGGGAGCATATTATATTAGGATACCTTATTGCTAGGCGCCCAGGTGTCTGATTGTTAATAAAGTTGTTACGGTACCTTCAGCATGGAATGTGCAAACCGCCGTTTAGTGAATGCTCCCCGTTCGCAATAATGTAGGCTGTATATGTATCCAATACAATCCTGCAAACCGCAAGCAAGGGAATACTCCAAACTCCCGAACGGTATCCGTACGGTCACTTCCCTCCACGAGCTTCAAGCTCACGAACTGTCAATATCAGCCGAACGCCGTTATCTCCCAAACGGCTAATAATTCCATATAGCAGTCTCTAGTCGCCGGTAATAAAATCCCCCGAATAACGAGACCAAGCTCCGCATTGAGGGTAAAACACGAACTGAGTTTACTGTGGGCTACCCGCCCGTATTTATGCAGGTCTCCCACTTGGTGGACACTCCCCTAGGGGACCAAATGGGAGACTGGAATAGAAGATGGACATATGGCATCTCAGGACATACAGTCACACAATATTCCCAGCATACATTACAGTTTCCTCCCCTATGCCAAGGAGATAATTGAGAAGTAATTCAATTAGCTCCAAGAGCAGAGGCAAATCGCCATTTTAAATGCTAATCATAAAACACATAAAAATACATAACTTTATAACAGCCGAACATTTCTCATTCGTGTAACACATCCCCAGATAGCCTGGATCTGAGTGCATATTATTGGCGAATAGCGCTCAGATCCCATACGCATAGTTCAATCGCCATGGAGTCAAAGTCTATTACAGTTCTTCGGTATGCGATTGACTCCATGGGAAGGCTATCTGGGGTAAGTCTATTTGTGCCTTTAAATCTTCCGAACGGCCGGTCTTCGCACACTTCTGTCGCTTGAGAAGGGAGGTCGACGGCATCAGCGGTGTTCGGTTGAAAAAGTGTCCGTTTTCAGTTCCATGAATTTAGTACCGAACACCGCTGGTCTTTCACGTGGTTTAAAATGGCCGCAGCCTCGTGGTCGACATACGAACGACGACCACCCTGTATTCGGTTTTAATTGAGAATTGTCTGTGGTTAACCGCAACGTTCTAATTGGGATCAATAGGTTAACCAGCAGCACACTTCTCTTCTGGGTGGCTGTCCGTTCGACAGTTTTGTTCTGTAGAAAAGTCAATTCACTTAGATCCAGGCATAAGAATGGGTGAGTTCGTGAAACAAGCAAACAGACGAATCCAGCAATCTTAGTTCATACGGATGGGTCTGTCACAAAAGTTATTCCACTATGTCCAGACACCCAGGTGCTAGGGTTCCAAAATGTATTGTGCAATACCATTGTACCATTGTTCTGTTATGAACCCTTGTTGGGCCTTGTTGGGTACCTGTGTATAAAAAAGTGAAAGTTGCACAATAAAGTATGTGCTGTACCCTTACAAAGCCATGGCTGGTGACTAGTGGTGGAGCTATAATCACTCTAGAGGCTTTCACAGAGGGAAAGGGAATCACTGACAGTGGTACTACGGCTGTCTAGGAGAGGTCCACCACAAACACCCAGCACTTATCATCCACCCACCCACCTGGTTACATACACCATCCAATCATACCCCAAACTAGCCGCATTAATGCATATATATAATCTATGGGGAGGTTGCATTGAGGAAACTTTCCTTCAGGGAAGCATGGAGTGTAAATACGGCTTCTAGTGCATATTAATGAATGGTGTACTGCCACACTCATGGGCACAGTTATTTTCTGTGCTTCTAGTGGTGCAGTGCTAAGCTTTTGGGTGTAAACAGGCTCTAGCAACAACATCATGATAAAAATACAGTAAAGCACTGTTTTTTGTTACTAGTGAAGTTTACTGATCCTGAGCATGTCCAGTCACTTCATCTTGAAGCAAAATACAAGGTTAAACATTGTCATTTTGCAGAAACTATAATAATGGAAGCACTGGCTGAACTACCGTGGTCATAGGGGTCG